TAAAACATATTGTTGTGTGTGATTTGGTGAGTGAGCGCAAGCAAGCACTGAATCAAAGTTTATCCGTTCCTTTTATCCAAGGTGGGATGAAAGCGATATCTGTGGGCCCCTCAATGATTTAGTGATCACACCCTAAGCGCTTGGCCAAGCCGCGACTAAGTTGATGTGTTCAACTGTAGTCTGTTGTCAGTCGTCATAAATCGGAAATCGGGAAACAACACATAGATAAAGAGAATGATATAAATCCATGTCTCAGTCTATACGATATCTAGAATGGAGGAATATATGATCCCTTATATAAAGGATGCATATCTGAAAATATCAGAGTTGACAACGGTTTTTGAAAGCTACGATTGCAGATCAGGATCTGAAGTCATACACAGAATAGTTATTAGACTTATCCAAGCGGGAGATGGTTGGATTAGTTTCTAAGTCCATAACTATTTTAGTGTGTACTTGACCCGATGGTGCATGGTCCTTTTGGGTTTCCTTCACCAAAGCAACTTGATAGGATGAATTATGGAGAGAGAGAGATGATTAATTATGATTTATTAATGTATTATGATAATAATATATTAAAGGAGAAATCATATTGTTTAATTAATATTAGTCAATAATTAATTAAGAATTAATTTTGTGGCTAAAAGACATTAATTAAACTTAAGGGACTAGAATTGTCAACTGTATGATAGTTGAATATTGGGCTAATGGACTCCATATTAGAGGGGTGGATGAATTCTATGGGGAAACCCATTAGAAATCATCCTAGGCCTCTAAGGAGGGAGTCCATGGGTTGCTTAGGGCCTAAGCAGTCAAATCAGGGTTTCCTTGTTAGATAACTCTACTAGCCTCACTATTTAAGGATGCCTAGAGCACCAAAAACGTGGCCAAGAGTTTCCTTAGGGTTTCCACATGTTTTTGGGTGCCTCCTCTCTTCTTTTTCTTCATCCTCTTGCTCTTGGTGTTTGTGAGCCATTAGAGGAGTGACACTTGTGACTATAAGCTTTCTAAAGCCATTACAAGGAGGATTTGAGATTGTTATTGCTACATAACAATCAAGGTATCATCTAAACCCTAATTCATATATTAATATCGATTATCATGTGCTAGATCTAGGGTTTAAAGTCTTGGATGAATTACATGTACAATAGAGAAACTTAGATCCAAGCATTAGGGTTTGCATGAGCACATAGGATGTTCTTATGGCTAAAACCCATCAATATTAAGGCTAGGACCCAACAAAATATTTTATAACTTGGAAGAGGGATGCCGTAATCCAAGCTATAGAATATTTGAAGGTAGGTGAATGATAGTTCAACAATTTCCACCATGAAAAAATGAAATAATTAATTAGGTTTTTTTAATTGGATTTGAAACTCCTAGATCTCTTGAGATTCATTGAACTGTTCAATGGCATGTTTCAATCTCGAGTGTGCCCTTCAGGTTTTGTAACTGGGATGCCGAGGATCACAAAACAAGGTGTGAATAACCATGCAAATATACTTGGTACCCTTAATTTTTACCCCTCAATCGATGTGCCGGTTAACCACACACAATCCACCGATACTATGATAAACATTAAGTTACCGTTTACCTACCTTGTTAACTCAAGCTAGTGCGCCGGTTAACCACACACGCTCTACTAACCGACTTAAGCAAAGTGCAAAGTGTAATTTCATGGGTTAGCACCAAATCACATTTTCCTAAGTAGATAAGATTGGGTATTACTAAGAGTCACTACTAGAAAATAGACCTTTAATGACGTGCAAACAATGACACTCTCTGATAGACGACGCACATTTATACGTGCCCTAAAAAATAATGTCAGCTTTGCAAAATTTGAAGGATAGAGGGCGCGCATTTGTGCGTGCCCTAAAATTAGTGTAAGAAAAGAAAACAAAAAGAAATGCGGAGGGCGCCTTTCATAAAGTGTGCGTCCTCTAAATGTGTCGCTTTATATTTTTTTTTCCTAAACGCGCGTTTTTAAAGGGGGAAAATGAAATCGTCTGAAATTCTAAAATTTTGAAGAACCCCGCTTCTACCCTTTCTCCTCAGTATCTCCCTTTTCATTCACTCCTTCCTTCTCTCTGTAAACCCTAAGCCATCGCCACTGCCACTGCCACCGCCATTGAGCCTTAAAAACTCAATCCACACTAGAATCCTACAATAGAACCCTAATAATCCTTTTGAATCGGCTCGTATTCCTTTACCTCTGTACTCTCTCTCTCTCTCTCTCTCTCTCTCTCTCTCTCTCTAAGCCCTAAGCTGCCACCACCAACATCGAACCCGATAAGCTTTAAGAGTTTGGAGTGCATCTAGAAACCTAAGCACACACTTCCGCCATCTCAAGATACCAGTTCAAGATCGAAACACCAATCCCTCTATCCCCACTCAGATCCCACGCACCGCTGCCCCTAACCTTCTCCTTCAAAACGAAAGAAACGCTCGATGATTCTTCCTCTACCGGTGGTCCCACCTCCGAATCACTCGAGACTGAAATTTTTGAGGACCGACTCTCGCAGGTACGTTTGTGTAATCAGAGTGGCAAAGGGAAGAAAGTCGACCCATGGAAGAGCATGAAGTCTGGGAAGAAATCCGGTGGGAGTTCAGGATCTAGGGAAAACATATACCTCCCACTGGTGCCTTCGAAGGATCCGAATTCAGGTTGAGTTTGGAGTGCGTCTAATGAAATCTGATCATTGGTGATGCAATAACGGTTCTCTCTCACACTCGAACCCTATATATCGCTTCCTACCCTCCTTCATCTCTATTCTCTAAGACAAAGGATTCCAATAAGAAGGATGTGGGTTGATTTGCGTTGGAGATGGCGCTCCTGGAGATGAGCTGCTTCCACCTCCAATAAGAAGTATGTGGGAGCGATTTTTAATGTATACTGACGTTATCATCTTCACTCTAATTCTCATCTTTTGCATTCCGGTTTTATTTAGCCTCTCATAATCGATCTCAAGGTCGATTTTGCATGTATTTTGACTTTAATCAATTCACTTTGACATTTGACTTTAATCTATTTTGACTTTAATCAAGGTCACTTTAGTTTGATTATGTGATACTGGTTTATTTATTTATTAAGCAATTCGCTTTCATATTTGGAAATTCAGGGGGTTTGACTCTTTATAGTTTAAAGGAGGCAAGAACCTGTACTAAGGTTCAAATTTAAGGATTTACAGAATTGTGAAGGGGAGAAGTCGATTCACTAACTAGGCAGCGAGACCAACATTTGCACTGGTTCTTTTGGTATTGTTCATTGTGCTGATTGGAATGGCTCTGTAAGTAATACACCTTTTTCCTTTTATTATTATATATGTAACGAGGGTATTTTGGTCTTTTCATTTAAAACTTTACAAACTCCACTACTTTCCAGGATGTTGCAGTGACAATTCTTTTAGAACAAGATTTTCATCTAGAGAATCTCTATGAAAAAACAAGAAGGAAGGTGAAACGACAGCTGTCTCCTTATCCATTTCCAGGCCTTCATCAAATTATAATAATAGGATGCAACAAGCAATTGGACCTCAAAAAGGTATCAAGACACTGATACCTTAACTTTTAAATGAATGCTTTTATTAGAAGTGAAACAGTATAACTTAATGATAAACTTGTTTGTGATTTCCTACGGTTGGTCCTAGCATGGAATGGAAACCGAAACCAATTTCTCAAAGTCAAAGGTCAATTAAGGTGCCTGTGGTTGTGGTTCCAGTTGAAGCTCATACTCCAACAATAGTTTCTTCTGCATCCTCCACTAATCTTGATTCATAGGAGGATGAACTTGAGAAGAAGCTGAAGGAGTCCCACATTTCAGATGATAAACATGTCATTATCCCAAATCACCTTCATGTTCCTGAAGCCGAAAAACTCGGCTTCTGTTTTGGGAGTTTTGATGCCATTTTTGGTTTTAATAAAACCCCCTCAAACTCAAATGGTCCTGTGGCTGTGACCATGAGTGAAAAGACGTCTGAAGCATCTGAGGAGGCTGATGAAACTATAGAGGATCAAATGCAATCCAGGTTTCTGTTACTTAGGTTGTATTTCATATTGGAGTAGACAACATTTTCTGATAAATGTATGCACTTTAGTGGTTCAGAAATGAAAATGCTGATGGAGAGGAGGATCATCTTGAACAACCTACCACATCTTCATCTAATGTACCCAAGAATTTACCAACAGAAGGTGACATGTCATTGAATGCGGGACCCGAGTGCAGAGAGTCGAAGCAAGAGACTTCTTCTTCTTCTTCTTCTTCTTCTTCTTCTTCTTCACTCCCTACTCCAAGTCATCAATACCCAGTTGTTCATACATCACCAAATCCAAACTTCAGTTTTGGGTTCATGCCACCAATGATTGGAAGCCAAGTTACATCTTTTGAAAACACCAAGTCTCAGGCACACGATGCTTCTCATGTCCCAAGCTTTGTAGTAAGACCCTACCACCCTTATTTATTTATTTATTTATAATCCATTAATTAATTAATTAAAAAAGAAAATGATTTTTTTGAGAAAATTATTTACAGGTTCAGCAACCGTTTGATCTAGCAAGCTATTATGCTCACCTTTATCGTGAGAGTGATGGGTGCATGTCACCTTTCCACTCAACCACAAAGTACAATTGAAATGTTCAACAACCTTCTCACTCTTCTCAAGAGGTTTGTTTCTTAAATGCCAACAAATTTAACCATATATATGCCTCTATTTACTAATTAATTGAAACCACAGGTCGGGAACTCACTAATGCTATCCACCACCAGTCCAACACCAACAACTGCCACACAAACCGCCGGAGTCATGCAAAGCTCCATATCCGTCACTCAACAACCATTACCTGTTTTCCGGCAGCCACCAAGGGTTCATCTACCACATTACCCTCCAAATTACATCCCATACGGTCCATATTTCTCCCCATTTTATGTCCCTCCACCACCTGCTATCCATTAGTTTTTAAGCAACGAGACATTCCCACAACAACCACAACAAGGCGGCAGAGGCATGTATCCAGCATCACCACCACCAGTGGCTACCACCTCTAATTCTAAATACCCGCTTCCACAATATAAGCCAGGAAGCAATACAGGGAATATTGGAATGGTGGGAAGCTATGGACCGTATGCTTCAGCTGCCCCTGCTGGTTATAACCAAGTAATTGATTTAACTTTTACATTATGAAGTGCAGATTATAGTAGGACCATCAATTAACAAATTTTTCTTATCTATTACAAGGTATAACAGAGAATGCAATTTAATCACGACAATGTTAGGCCAGTACAGGTATTCTTGCTTGCCATATGTTGTTTATCCGTAACTCTATGCATTTAATTTATACCCTTCTTATTTACATGGTAGTTGCAATCTGTGGAAGTGCTCCCTAAAAAGGCTGTTAATATCTTGAAGGAAAATAGGTAGGCCTCAAAGGATAAATTTTTTCTTTATTTTGACAATTCAAAGTTTTTATTTTTCTTTATGTTTCCTGAACATGGTTTTGATTTTGTGATAAATGGATCTTTCGGGGGTTCTTTCTGGATTAACCAAGGAGTCCAACATTGACAAGTTTCTAGGGGTATTTTTGGAATCCCTCGTGGAGTACAGTCATGATGATGATTCGTGCCTTAAAGTGTTGCTTTCCATGATAAAAGTCGTTCCTGTTAATGTTTTAGTTGGTCGTTTAGTTACAAAACTTCTTTCAACATGCAATTGACAAGTTAATAAATCATATGTATTTCTTGTTAATTTACAGGATTTCTTGAAATACAACGAATCATCTCTAATGAAGCTGCCTTGTAAGATATTTGATCCCATTCCACTTGGTGAAGCTGTTGTTGTTGGGAGGATGAAGGATGCAGATTCAGTAGCAATGCCTGAAGGTTCATCTTTATATGATTTGGTTCAAACGAGAATCACTACCACACATGCTTCTGTTGGAGTGGTGGTTCGCTTAAGGGAAGAGTTGTCTCTTGTAAAAGATAAACCTGCTCATTTTGCAATTGACCAAGTGAGTTGACTTTTTCTCTTTCTCTTTGCAAGTTTCATATTACTGTTATTTCTAACCATATATATATATATATATATATATATATATATATATATATATATATATATATATATATACAGAGAGAGAGAGAGAACAAAAGTTCAATGCTATAATTGACAAAAACTTAAAGTACACTGCTATGAAAGGATAATGCTATATTCCGCAAAACATCATTTATTTGTTACTTTTTTTATGTGTGTGCCTGTGTGTTGCTGTTTGTGTATAACAAAAAAAAAACACCTTAACATACACACACGTATTTATAACTCATAAACATTATAAAAAATGACCTTTATAAAAAAGAATTGAAACAGGGATTACCATTGTTGATAGCTTTACGGGTTCTTATGGGTGGTGTTAGATGGAATTGTGATGATATACTCTCTAGTTCATAGGATCAAGAATTGTCATTGTTGATAGCTTTACAGGTAATATTTACAATTTGTATGAGGGTATTCTTGTCATTTTGATTGTCATTGTTTAAACACACAACGGAAATTGGAAAGCAAATGAAAATGACAAGTGATTTTGTGTTGTGTTTACAGGGTTGATGAAAGCGAATAGCTCTCGAGTTAGAAGTGGAAAAGAAAGCTCAAGCCGAAAGAGATAAGATGCTGAAAATGCAAGTGTTGTATTCTTCATTTCAATTGTTAGTATGAAACATAGAGTAGATTAGATGAATGCAAATTTATATATTGTAAGAAATAGAATTGTATGACATTAAAGTTTATTCAACGGATTGTATTTTTTTGTATATCGTATTTTATTTCTATTATGACACATTAAATGCAAATTTAATTTAAAAATTAATAAATATATAAATATATATATATATATATATATATATATATATATATATATATATATATATATTTTAAATATTTAAATTTACGATACGCAAAAATGTGTGTCATCTTTATTTATGACATAGCCTTTCTTGACAGGGGCTTTCTTGATACGCATTGCGTGTCATTAATACGCGCGTCGTAAGGTTACGACACGCGAATGCGTGTCGTCTTCCTTTATGACAGGGCCTTCCTTGATACGCATTGCGTGTCGTAAACGCACGTCGTAATTGCGCGTCGTCTATAGACGACGCGCAAAAGCGCGTCGTCTCTCTTTATGACAGGGCCTTCCTTGACGCGCATTTGCGCGTCGTCTGAGCCTTTTACGATGCGCAATGAGCGTCGTAAAAGGCTGTTTTTCTAGTAGTGAGTTTAGTTACTTAGTAATTATCATTAATACTTTTAATGAAGGGAGAATTATAGTCCTTGTCCTACCCATTCAACTAACAACCCTGCACCAGTCAAGGAAGAAGTGGGTGAGAGTGGACACCCATTAAACTGCCATTTTATAGGCAGTAACCTTATAACCCCCTTATAGACCAACTTCGTGAATAAGGCCTACTAATGGTAAGACGACTTGCTCTTATATATATATATATATATATATATATATATATATATATATATATATATATATATATAATTAACTTATAATATAATAAAGTATAAGGGTTGAATTTTAACTTTTAAAATTCTAAGGGCTTAACTTGGAATTAAAGTATTCATGAGAAAACTTTACAAATTCCAAAACTTAAGGGCAAGTTTTGAAACTATTCAAATCTCGTGGATTTTCATAATTTATGAGTTTAATTAAAGTTTTAAAAACTTTTAATGAAGAGACTCTTGAACATCCATAACTTGAGGACAAGTTATGGAGCCATAAAAACAGTTCATAAGAAAAGACTGTTCATTTTTGCAACCTAAGACATTTTTATGAGTTTTAAGATTCATAAATGTGACTTTTCATATAACTTGATGACAAGTTACAAAAACACATTTTATGAACAAATTTTAGATTAATTTGGATTGAAAACAACTAACACAATTTTTTTCTTCCATTAATTTGAACTAACTCATAAATCAAATAAACATAAAAATTTTGGTAATCCATAACTTGAGGACAAATTATGGACTCCATTAAAATACAATTAGATCAAGAATTAACTAACAAACACTTTTGTAAATAATTCATATGATCTACCAAAACTCATAAGCATAAAAAATGCATATCAACAATTTCAAGAATTACATCAACATAAATAAAACTTAAAATTTTGATTTTAACCTTGAAATTGGTTTACTATAATCATTACTACTTAAAAAATAGGTTTTATAAGTCCAAAGCAGCTTAAGGTAATGATTTTAGAACAATTCCAACTTTAAAACTCGAAGATATGTTGTCAAGGGGTCCAACTCGTCGAGTGCATGAACCAACTCGGCGAGTTGGATGATTTTTTCTTGGACTCGTCGAGTCCCTTCATGGACTCGGCGAGTCTGCTGAGCAGATAGCACTAAAATTCGATTTTTCAGCCAATTTTGCAAGTATAACAAGAAAACAAGCCTAGGCTCTGATACCACTGTTGGTTTTTGAGCATTCTAACACTCCTATGGTGTACATGCAACTCTAAATACCTTGGATCTATGTTTTCTCTATTATACATGCAAATATGAACTTTCCAAGGTATTACCGTATCTAGCATACAATCTTTGATACTTGGGTAATAAAATAGATAGAATACATACCTTTTTATGCAACTTTTCTTCATGAAGCTTGAGTGCCTAGTGCCCCAAGTGTGACACCTCAAATGGTTCACACAACACCATGAACACTTGGAATAACCTTGAGAATAAGCATAATTTTGTTCTCTCTAGTGAAATCGGCCTTTCCCTTTTGTGTAAACACACTAGTACCATTTCACCAATCAAGGACATATTTATATAGTGTGGAGATTAGTGTTAAACCCATGACCCTTCATTTCATATGATCCATGGGTTAATCACTCCATGGACTATCCATGAAAGCTTAGCCCAACCTAAATGAACTTGGCCCATCACACATATATATCTAAGAGTCCATATTTAATTAGTTCCTTTTGATCACTTAATTAATTATAAATTAATTCTTGATCAACACTAATTAAATAATATGATTATATATTAATATATTAGAACTTATAACATATTAATATAAATCACTAGTATCATTTTTCCTCATCTTGTCTATCCAATTGTCCCGATGCCATGCAACCCAAATGGACCATGTCGGGTCGGGTCAAGTATTACCAATTATAGTTATGGACTTAGACATTAATCCAACACAATCTTCGCAAAGCCCTAAACTGTGCAGGTGAACAAATTCCTCACAACAAGGTCACATCTACTCCGTCCGAAATTTGCTGTCTCGAGATGGTCTGAATCCCTGACAGACCATTCATACTGAATCATTATCATTGAACCTAGTCTACTTATCCCTCATCTGACCACTCAACTTCTGATAACTCACGGATCCTACTATAAAATAGGATCACTGACCCAATTATCCCAACAAATCACTTATACTTGACAGAAGGCTCAAATAATCCTTCAAGTAGAAGAGTCGTCCCTACAATGGTTAGACTCAAACGAGAGCTGCGCAACAGAGTCAAATCAATTACTTTGAGATTATTTAATCCCACTGTAAGTGACTTAGCACTTTCGATCATGATGCTACTCCACACAAACGAATCTCCAAATCACTACTACCGTCTGAAGCATCACGATGCCCCTATCTTTTTTCCAAACGCAACCGAGACCTCCTAGTTCTCGAATTCGTTCATATTGTGGCCTACTCGCCTTCTTGCGGTTGACCCGCCCTGGCCTAAATCATCTGAAGGAATCCGTGAGTGAATCACCAATCGGTCACATTCTTACTATCGAATAGGGCCTGGTGAATGCTATGGTTCACCCCGCTGTCTTACAACACTCCCATACTAACCGGCCACTAGTGAATGCTATGGGCCATCCCCGCAGTCTTACTATACCACTATACTAACGGCCAACTAACGAATGCTACGGGCCACCCGTAATCTTACAACGTTTCTACTCTATCTGCTAACTAGTGAATGTTATGGGCCACACCGTAGTATAACAACACTTCCACACTTCCTACTAGCTAGTGAATTCTATGGGCCACCCCGCAGTATTACAAGGCCTCTATACTGTTTGTTGACTATTGCTATGGGCCACCTCACAATCTTACCACATTCTCCATGCCATCTAGCCACTAGTAATCACTACGATTATCCTGTAGTCTTACAACACCTTCCCATGTTAACTCAATCGTTGACCATGGTCTTACCGCTGATTACCATTCCGAACACACCCAAAGTTGAGCACCCATGCGGTCTATTATCCCACACTGAACTCATGTCCTGACTAGGATCCTCAACCTGGGTTCCCATAAATTGCTACGCATCCATCAGATGTGGTTCCAAATTCAAGAAGTTTCCCAGACTCCCCACTTCGATATGACTAAATATCCATTGCATATAATATATAGGAGGATTCTAAACCCTTCCTACCTTCCAATGATTGATCTGCTGACAACTGGCGCTTACTAAAGCTAGCAACCCATTACTATGCTAACTCAAAAGATCATGCGACCCCTGAAGACTAGATGAACACTTCCTAAACTCTATCCATACTGATAACTCCAGATGCCTTGAAATGATGTTGTACTCAGGTCTTGGGCTCCAAATAGCTGACGTTCCAATCAAAACCTCGACAATAGGCCACTCCCTTTGGTGACCCCATGAGTCAATCTAAGCACAATGACTGATCCCTCCAAAACCCGACGTTTATGGATAACCATCCTACTAAACTCTGACTGCAGACCTTCCACATAATGTCACTGAACCGATCTTGATTATGAGCCGAGATAATGTTGAACTCCCTAAACCAGCAAGATGGAAACAATCTTACACCAACCAATAATAATTCACGGTATGCAATTGGCATATGACATTTCTTGAAAATATAATCCAAACACAAGCAGAGAATAAACCAATTATATGCTTACCCAAACTGATCCAATACCCTGGCCATAAACACAGATATAAATGATAGGAAAGAAGGCAGAAGATACATACCTGCATAATTTAACTCCTCTCTGTTAGGGCTCCTACCCTACCAACTTGTCCATTGGTGATCCTCAAAGAAGCCAAAGCAACCATGCTCACTGCTCCTCCCCTCAACTTCGGATAGTCAGCCTTCTTGTGGCCCACTCGATCACAGTGAAAACATAATGGGCTTGCCCCTTGAGGGCAATCCCTGCTGACATGACCACCCTACCACACTTGTAGCAGCCGAGACCCCTGGAGTGACAAACTCCATCGTGCATTTTCCTGCACGTGCTGCACTTAATTCGATCCTGCTGGCCTCTCGGATGTTGGTCAGAAGTCTTGGGTCTCTTCCAGGGACCCTCCGATGTATGCACCTGATCTGACCTCCTCTTCTCAATGTGCTCCAAATCAATCTCCCGCTCTCGGGCTCTAGAGATCATATCATTCAGGGTCTCGCACCTTGAAATACTCACGAATTTCCTGATGACATCCCGCAGCATATCGTGATACCTCACTTTCTTCATCTCCTCATCAACTACATACTACGGTACTAGTAAAGCCCTCTTCCAGAACTTAGCAATGATCTCTGACAAAGTCTCCATGGTTTGGAAGAGATCCAGGAACTCTCGTGCCAACTGTTGCACCTCAATCTCCGGTGCAACGTCAGCTCGGAACCTGGTCTAGAAATCATCCCATGACATAGCATCGACCACATCATCACCCAACTCACTACCGATC